GAAACAACAGCTCTGCGCTGTCGCTGTCAACCAGAGCCAGCCTCTCCTTCCTGCTTTCTGAACTCCATCCACCACTGATCCGTGGAAGAAACAAGTTTTTTGACCAAAGTGAGGTTTAGTGCTCTATTAATTCTTTGAGGGAAAATGCCCCAGAACCAGGAGAGATTTACCCATAGAAAATAACCTCAGTACAGACAGCATAAGAGACCTTTAAATGCTTCCTTTCATGTTTAAAAAAATGGAATTAAGATGCATATTTTTTAAAATGAAAAATGACTGGCATTCTTCCCACTGAAAATGGAAAGTAATTTAATTTGTTAGTGGTTTATTTTATTTGACAGTCTTTGTGCATACTCGATTTGGTTTGTTACACTGAATTACCCTTTAATAATGGGTACACATCACGCCAGACTCTGCCCCCCAGGTTGGTTTGATAATTGGATGAGCGTCCATATTGTTCAAGGTTTTCATGACAATGAGGACAGAGGTATTTGCAAAACCCTTAACCAGGAGAGCTTTAGTTTTTCTTATTTTCAGTGAAGTTAATTACTACCCAATGACCAATCAGTCCACTGGCTTCTTCTCCTAAGCAACTACTCAATTTCCTGGGTGGATGTAAGGGATGCTAAAACCTCACAGCCAATTTGTAAAAAGGCAAAAATCTTCCCCAGGCAATCTTCCAGAATGGACCATTTTCTACAATTGCAAGTTCATGATTTTAAAAATGCTACTAACATTTTTAATCATACTAACACCAGTGTTCAGAGGCAACTCCAGCCCTTGGTAACAATATGACCTTGGGCAAGCTTCGTGACCCCTCTCGCTGCAGGATCCACAGCTCTGAAGTGGGAATGATCTTGGCACCTACTTCATGAGGTCATGGTGAAGGTTCAGTAACGTGGTGTTCAGTAACAGTCCTGGCGCAGAGCAGTTCTCCATGGACGGTACTTGGCCATATGGAATGTGTCAGGCCCTGTGCTAAGTCTTCCCAACAAGACTACTGAGAGAGTGGCTTATCCCGAACATTAGGGAAGGGAGCGCTGACATCAAGAACAATTGAATAACAAGCCCAAGGCCACATGGCTGGTCAGTGACCCCGACAGGGGCCAAACCCAGTCCTGTGTCACCCCATTCAAACTCACACAATTGTTCCAGAATTCCCTAGAAGAATTCTAAAACATTGAGCAACTTCCTGAGTATTTTCAAGTAGACAACCAAGCATTTCCATCATGATGTTAAGTAATTGCAGAAATGTGATGCTGGAGCATTTTAAACATGGGTAGTTTAAAATAAAACTGTCGTGTGACCTTTGTGATGCATCCGGTACAACTGAAAGAGCATCGGTCCAGGATGCCCACCAATACTCATTGAAAGAATATTGAACAAGTTTTCTCTATAAGTCAGAAATGTAATGTTCCTTTTTCTCCTTTAAACATCTATTTTTACTGTATTTCCCCCTAAATAAATGTTAAAAGCTTTTTGTGATTATTTCTAGAACAAATATAGATATGTTTCCCTTTATGAATAGATGACTATAAGAGTTATAGTAGTTAATTGTTGCTATGATTAGTAGTAGAATGCAATACATGAAAACATCATAAACATATATTTCTGATAAATAATGACTAATGCAAAAAGTGGAATTTTATTAGAAGTGTATGTTATAGCAAGCCAGGGATGGGGGCATTTATGGGGCCTGGATTAAAAGTATCATCCAGTGGTCCCTGCCCGAAGTGTTTGTGCCTTGCATAGCGCACCTTAGAAAGAGTCAGGATGAGCTCAGGCATGTCTTCTAGGTCTTTCTTTTCAAAGGGGAGGAGGAGATCCTAAGCTGTGGGCATTTCCTGAGATGATCTGATTTTAGGAAGGAGAACATGGAAGTTAGGGATAAGGAAACGGTTCTGCAGAGTCCTTAGGAAGTCATCACCCACTCCTAGGGAGACAGTGCCCTAAATGGTGATGGCTGCTCTGTGCCACTGAGCCATATTGCTTCGGGATAAGGACACTTATAGGAGGATCCGATGGCTTTCCCATTTGCAAGATGACCCACCCCCTCTTCCTTGAAAATGAAGTCCGCATGCTCTATAGCTGTTGGCTTTATCCCAAACTACGGTAATTGTTATTGGAGAGTCACGAAGGCTGAGTCTTGAAGGACACCCGTGAAAGGCAAGGTGATACATTTGAAGTGAGGCTGGAATCTGGAATTTCCAAGCCTCCTCCACAGCCTTACCATGTAGTCCCTGCACATGGGATAGTGCATTTGCCCCAGGATTCTCCACTGGGTCCCAAACCTGTGGTCCCAAAGCACCAGGACCAAGGTTTCCTTGCATCAAAAGTGAGGGGGACACCCGGGACTTCAGCTCTCATCTGTCTTTTCCAGATCAAACAACCTTGGTTTCGGCTTCCCAAAAGGGCAGGTTATGAACAGGAAGAGGTGGGAGTTGTGTAATGTCTCCTTTCCCTCAGCTCCTCTAGGATTCTCTGTGTGGCAGCTTCCCAGCATGTAGCAAATGCTCAGTGAATGTTTGCTGCAGACTCTACCAGGGCCAGTGTGTGATCACCACTTCCTAACTGATGCCATGGAACCCCCTAACCCCATGACCTTACTATACCCTGTCAGCCTAAATTTAAAGTAACCTCAATATAATCTTGAGCCTGTCTACTTGCTGGGGCGCTGGAGGCTCAATGCTAAACAGAGAGAATGAGGTTCTCTCTGTGGGAAAGCCTGCCCATGCAGGTGCATTGCAGAGTCTCCCCTCCAGCTGCCGCTGCTATGCATTTCCACAAGTGTCTTCTAGAGTGGTGCTTCAGGGGCTGCCTGAAGGTCAGGACTCTGTTCCACATTGCCCATGTGTCTCCAAGGCAGACACTGCAACCTGACAACCCCACTTATGTGCTGTGGAAGGTTGTGAAGAATCGCTGGTGTGGTCACCAAATAAGCCAAGTGACAGCAACATTCATTTTGCTAGTAAATGGGTCCCGGGAGTGACAGATGCTCCGGTGTTTCCTGAGAGGAGAGGCAGGAAAGATAATGAGAAAGAACCTGGAGGAGGAAGGCAGAAAGAGGCTGGATAGGGATAGAGAGATGGCAGGGGGCGACAGAAGGGGCGGCATCGGGCTGCCCTGAGCGTGGTCCCAGTTTGTGCAGGTATCACGATGGGAGCTCAGAAGGAGCAGGCTGGGTGTCCAGACCTCACAGTCTGCAGCTAGAACCCGGGTCTCCCAGTCCCTGCTTTCCAGGCTCATGCTCTAGAACCATTATCCATGCTGGGATGGGGACCACAAAGGCTTTCCCTCCTCCCTGACCTGGCATCAGAGGACCCCTGACTCTTCCTGCACCCACAGCTCAAACCTCCTCTGACTTTTGGGATATCGAGTGCCACATCTGCCTAGAGCTATGTGTTTCCTCCCAATTGCTCATTTAATTTAAAAACTCCCTTAGAGGACAGCTGAACTCCTCAAGGCTGAGCTGGGAGAATTCTGTTTCCTGAAAGGTTACACTGCCGCACTGGCTGTACCCCACAGTATTTAACCCTGTGTCTGCCTTCTCTCCTCACCACCTAGTGGAAGCAAATCAAGAGACTGAAGTCTTCTTCCACCACCTGATGTCAAATCAGTCAGGGCCCAGCAGCAAGGGATAATTCGCTTGAAAAGAAAATCACTTTTGGTTCTCTTCTCGTTCTGTATTAAAGGACCACACCTGTGTTGTGGGGTTTTGGGTTTTTGTTTCGTGCTTTTTCAGTCTGTTTCCTCCCCAGCACTTGTGTACTCACTCCCTTCTTCAGGATCCAGTTCACCTAGAATTTCAGGATGAAGTCAGGAGAGTGACGGGGCTCTGTTCATATGTGCCAGAGATTTATGTGTGGGAATCTATGTAACTGCCCAGTTCTCTGATCTTCTGGAAAGAAAACATTCACTCGCATGCTCTCACTCACTCATTCAACAAATACTGAAACTTTATATATCAGTAATGTGACCATATAACGTACAAACTGGGATGGTATGTATGTGAAACTAGACACTGCCTAGCTCATCTTCTAAGAGAGGCATAAACCAAGACCTTCTCAGGTCAACCAGGATGTCAATGGTGCCCTATATATTGATGGCTGAATTTGGGCTATTAAAGTCTTGATTGATAATAAGGTTTCCAGCTAGGCTCGGTGGCTCGGCCTGTATCCCAGCACTTTGGGGGGCCCAGACGAGGGGATTGCGTGTGCCTGCGGGTTCGAGACCCACCCGGACAACTTGGCGAGACCTCATCTCAACAATAAATAAAAAATTAGCCAGATGTGGTAGCGCACTCCTATAGTTCCAGCTACTTGGAAGGCTGAGGCGAAAAAATCGCCAGAGTCCAGCAGATCAACGCTGTGGTGGCCGGGAGCATCCAACTCAAAAAAAAAAAAAAAAAAGATAATAAGATTTCCCAAAACGCCCTTAAGGATTGAAGACAAAGCCAGGGTGGGATTTAGGACTCCAAAGCTATGAGATGGAAAAACATAAAGGATAAATTTAGATTAAAGCTGAACTAGACAATTCTTTCTTTTTTTATTTAAAAAAAAATTTCTTATTTTGAAGATGTGGGGTACAGTTCAGGATTGGGTGGATAAGTGGTCATCTGAACTAGACATTTCTAAAATTTTCCTACAACTTTCTTTTTTAAATAGATTCCATGTTTTAAAATAAATAAATAAAAATAAACAAACCAAAATAAAAAACCCAGCTCTGGAAGGTTATCCTACAGTGGAACTCAAGTTCTCTTGAGATGAGACCGTAAAGAATGAAATTTCTCATCAGGACTAAGGGATGGTGATATCTTTTGAGAAAGGAGTAGAACTGAAAGGAACAAAAGGGAATGGGCTTGTTATTGGCGTCCTTTGTCTAACTTACAGGTCTTTAGTGTGGTTGTGGTTTTGTGTGTGAGAATCGAGGATATAAGCATGCACACCCTTGTCCTAGGAAAGACTTTGGCTCTGAAGTGGTGTGTTTCTCTTGCTTCCCAGGTGCCTGTCCTGAGACCCATGGACCTGATGGTGGAGGCCACCCCACGAAGAGTCTTTGCCAACGCACACACATACCACATCAACTCCATATCAGTCAACAGCGACTACGAGACCTACATGTCTGCTGATGACCTGAGGATTAACCTATGGAACTTTGAGATAACCAATCAGAGTTTTAGTATCCTTTCCTTGTGGCCAACAATCAATTGGCCTGAATCAAGTGTATTCAGGTATGAGTGGGCTTGGGGGAAAATTAAATACAAAGGAATGTCACAAATGCAACACCTAACACTTGTAGAGAACTCTCCCTTTCACCCTATGCTGGCTTCTAGGAGACACGCGCATCCTAGCAGTAAAGTCAGGAAACGTTGCATTTCAGGGAGTGGGCCAGGAACAGCACTGAATTTGGGACTCTGAATCAATTCCCTCATGCAGAAGCTTTTGTGCCATAAATTAACATTAGATATTTTATGAACAATAAGATAAGACCCTCTTCTGAAGGGTTCCTTCTTCTGTAGAAGGGTTTCTAGATGGTCTGTATGGACAGCAAGGGCCACAGGGATACATGAGATGGTTCCATTGTATCCTAGTAGTGAAAATGATAGTGACTGACATTTATTGAGTTCTAAGCTCTTGCACTGGGAACTTTTAGTACCTTGTTTTTACCTCTGATTGACATATAATATGCATTCAGCAAAGCACACATATCATAATTGTACAGCTTGATTAAATTTCACAGATCAAACCTACCTGGAACCAGCATCCAATTTCTACCCCCCAAGTGTATGTATGTTTGATATAACAACACTGAAATGTCTTCTGTTTAACTAAAATTAGAAAAGCCAAGACAAATGCTGAGCGAGTGTCTGAGCCAGTATCCTCAGCTCGCTAAGCTGGCCCTCGATTTAATGCTCGTTTCTTGGGTAGCCAGCAGGCACTCCATTCCTCCACAAACCTGATTCCTTCCTGTAATTCCCAGCCTCTGCCCATGGCTTCATCACTCAGGCAGCTGAGCAACTGACCCAGGAGTCAGTGTTGATTCTTCTCGGTCACTTACCAGCCACCCCTTGTTCCCAGGCTAATCTGTCCATGAGCCAGACCTGCCAATGCTTCCTCTGACCATGTCTCACATCAACTCATGTCTCTCCATCTCTACCCCTACCAGCCCACACTAGCACAGGCCACTGTGGTCTCTCACCTGTGTGACTGCCGTCGTCCCCTGTCTAGCTTCCATTCTCTCTTGCTCTTTTACACAACACGTGACCTACGTGACAGTCAGAGCAGACCTTTCAACCTTTTAATCCAGATAGCATCCTTTCCCTGCTAGAAACACTCCAGTGGCTTCTCATTTAATGTAGAATAAAATCCAAGTCATTTACTTTGGCCTATGAGATAACTTATATTACTTGCTCTGGGGTCTGCCTTCTTCTTTGATATTGTCATAGCATTCTTCTGTAATTCACTCTGTTTCGGTCAACTAGTTGCTTTTCTATTCTTGGGTAAACCTTGTTCTTTCATTCTTTGCATTATCTTTTCCCTCTGTCAGGAATATTCTGCCCCCAGAATTCACATGGCAAGCTACATGTCGTGAAAAGAGCTATATAGATATCAGTGATCACAAGTACTTTCTCCCATGAACTCCCAAGTAGCTACTAATAACTCTCTGTCCTTGTTATGCCCATGGTTCTTACCACCATCTGAAATTGCTTCCTTATTTGTATGTTGCTGGTGTCTCCATATTAAATGTAAATTCTACAAGAGCAGGGACCGTGTGTATGATCCATTACTCTATTCCAATGTGTGGAATACTCTGACATATAGAAAATTCTTGAACATGTCAAACTTGAAGTAGAATTGGGTCATCAAAATGGACCCACCCAGTAGACAGCTAATCACACCATCTAACCTGGAAACTTAACTCTAAGAATTATAGTAAAGCTCCAATTGTTCTGATAGAAAGCAGATCCCACAATGGCTCAAACAAATCAGTTTATTTCACCTATAAAGTTCAATATTGATGATCCCATCAGCAGGAGCCTTATCCCCTCAGTGATAAAGAGACTCTGGCCTCCTTACCCTGCAGCTACCCAATGTCACCCTGTTTATCTAGAGGAAGACAGAAAAAGCAGGCCATGGAAGACCACACACGGGATTCTTGTAGGCCAGGTCCTAAAGCAGTATACATTCCCTGGGCTGGAAGCGCCATGTGGCTGCCTCTCCCTGCAGGGCAGGCTGAGAAGTGTAGTCTGGCTATGTGCCCAAGTAAAAAGACTTGGTTTTGGTACAGCTAGCAAGTTCCTGCCACCAGTGCTCAGGCACCTCCAGAGTGGTTTCAGCTAAGGCACTTTCATCATGTCATGGCAGTCATGACACGTACTTGGCGGTTCTGGGAGATGACAGTCAGGCCCACACCTGGCATCTTTTGGTGCTCACATAACAGACTCGATATGCTGTCTGGTCCTGCCTACAAATTGTGCCTGGCAGTGCAACCACTGATGGAATGCGTGTGGGTGGTGGTTCCCTTCTCTCCACATAGCTATTCCACAAGCCAGACATCTGCTCGGGCTCAGCTGGCTGTCACTTCAAGCTTCTGCTTCCCCCAGTCTAGGTGACATGATTTCTGAGTTTTGCCTCCAGGCCTTCAAATGGGAGGGAAGTTTCTTTAGGCATTTTGGGAGACAGACACTTTGGGGAGAATGCAAAGGGGAAATATTAATAGTGCAGTTTAGGTTATATTCTGCAGATGTGTGACAGCCTGCCAGATGTCGGCATACAAATGAGCCCGTGCCATTCACCCTTACAGCAGCCATATGTGAAATCATCATTGTCATCATGAGAATGATGATCACTGGTATCTATATAGCTCTTTTCAACCAGCCCACACTCAACCCTGAGCAGTCTGTACAAACGGGACCCCTTTGCCTCTTGTCACTGATGCTAGCCACCTCTAGGGCAGGAGGTGGCCATATTAAACACTGTCCCAGAAAAATGCCAGCCATCAAGCAGACCTTAAACCATATACTGTTTAGCACCTATTTCTATCACGTCCCTTATCCACGAAGAAGGCAGAAAAAGCATGGTTTAGGATAGAATAATGTGGGTGCCTCCAAAGCATGTCATGGGTACCACCGGCATGCTGGGCAAGATGTTTCTAAGCAAAATATTTAGTTTTTATATGTATTTATTTTGATGAATGTTTGAAAACACAATCATTATAGCAATCCTATGATTTCACAGATATTACAAATCAATTTAAATTACAAAGTAAGTATGGGGAACCCCCTAAAACTGAATTTATTTATAAAAATTGTGTATTTATTCTTCTGTTATAACTTTCTTTTATTATAGAGATGTGGGGTACAAGTCAGGATTAGGTACATCAATCTACGTTCAGGTGAAGTTTGGGCCTCCACCTGATCTTCACTTCCCCTGATTTAGGACCAGGTACCCCATTCTTACATGTTTAAACTTCAGTCACCTTCAAAGTACTCTCTGTCTGATGCGATAACATCTATCATGACACTTTTTCTACTGCTCAAAACAGTTTTGAACCCGTCAGTTTTGATGCCTTTTAGTGCTTCTGCTGTTTTTTTCTTTCACCTCTTCCACATCATCAAAATGTTTCTCTTTGAGGATTTTTATCATCCAGGGAAACAAAAAGTCCCTTTTTTTAATCCAGGGAAACAAACCAAAAAAAAAAGTCATTCAGGGACTTTTTAGTAGGGACTTTTTAGTAGAGATTTTTTTAACACGGAGGGTGGGTGGGGCATGGAGATCATGCGATTTTTGGTTAAAAACTACTGAACACTCAGCGTGGTGTGGACAGGTTGTTTGTGTAAATCACCATCATGAAATGGGCAAGTATGATGAAAGAATCTCAAAAAAAGAATTAACTGAAGCCAAACAACCACTCACAACAGTGCTAGCTGGTGCACTGATTGATACTGATAGATTCCTAGAACACTTACCTAGCAGGCAAAGCCTATACTACAAGGAATCTACTCTCCAAAACATAATTCGGGGGGAGAGTCCCCCTCATATGTGACACACATCATCTCCTGTAGTTTTCTTCCTCTTTTGGTACATGAGTTAACAGATTCAAAGGCATTCAAGACTATATAACTGGCCATGGAATATGAAATTAAAATTAACATCTTTCTTACTCTAAACTCCAGTAAAATCTATGTGACACCATCTCCAATTACTCAAATAAGTATAATACAATGTATAGTTAGTGTTCTCATAGCAGTGCACTTAGGGTGCTTGGATACATAGGATAAAAAGAATCCTAAAAGGAGTGCTTCATAATGAATGCAACATCTGAGTTGACCTTGGAATTAGACATTCTCTAATGCTAGCATTTCAGGCTCTCTACCTCCCATCAGTAGGAAATTTGTGGCTGTGGGGCTTTTAAGTGCTCCCCCAATCCTAAAGGCTATCTCAGCCCAAAGTCTTTCGCGGCTCAATATATGTCTAACGTGGCACCACATGTCTCTTTGTCGGTCCCTCAGATTGAGCCTAGCAATTGGCAAACACTCCATTAATATTTACACACTGGCGCTTTTTTAAGCTCTTAAGAGAGAAATATCCCTTAGAGTCCTCTTTGGAGAATTACAGTGTCTCATCATCAGGCAACATGTCCTTTCAGCTGATAAGATCTGAATGCTTTGTAATCATTGCTTAATATCCAAAGATTAAATTCAGACCTTGGAAAGGAAAAGAGACCTCAAAGCAACTCACGTGCCTGAAGACGAAATCATACTCATATATGCTCAGTGTAAAAGGCCAAGATATGACGACATTCCACCTTCAGTACAGGCAGACTTTACACAAGGCGTGGAAAGCCTCAACAGCTTTTAAGTGGGAGAACTTACCCTGGAAAACTTAGATCCCGTGCCTCAGCGTGGCCAGTGTTGATCACAGTCAGAGCTGCAGAAAAATATCCAATCTGGCTCTCCTATCCTTGATTAGTCAGGATTTTGGGGAGAAAGTGTATGAGTATAGCAAGATCAGCAGCTATTTGGGGACTTTGGCACATGGGACAGAGGCACAGGACAGCCACCTTTAGAAGTTCACAAAGCCAATGCATAGCAACAAGATCTTTGGGGAAAAATGTGCTTACTTCAGAAGAAGGAAGTATTCATGTCAGTATAAAACCAATTAATAAATAATTTTTCC